GGGTTCAGCATGGGGGTCACCACTGTATACATCATACCCATGACTGTCTCCTTCACAGTAGAATTATTGGCTGATGGACATAAGTACAGACCAATGACTGTCCCATAAAAGAGTGAGACCACAGACAGGTGGGAGCCACAGGTGGAGAAGGCTTTGCGGATACCTCGGGCAGAAGGAACCTTGAGAATAGAGGCGACAATTCGTGCATAGGACACAATGATGAGCACAAATGGAATGACAAGAATGACGCCTCCAGTTATAAATATCACTAACTCATTTACATGGGTATCAGAGCAGGACAGCTTCAGCAGAGCAGACATGTCACAGAAAAAGTGAGGAATCACATTGTCCTCACAGAATGACAATCTGGCCATGAGCAGGGTGTGCAGCATGGCATGGAAGGTGGTCAGCACCCAGGACAGCACCACCAGACTCACACAGAGCTTGGGGCTCATGATGCTGGTGTAATGAAGGGGGAAGCAGATGGCCACATAGCGGTCATAGGCCATGGCCACTAGGAGGAAGCTCTCAAGGTCTCCAAAAAGCAAGAAAAAGTACATTTGTGCCAGGCAGCCTGCATAAGGGATGGATGGAACTTGACTCTGCATGTTCTGCAGCAATTTGGGCATTGTGACTGAGGAAAAACAAAGGTCAGAGAAGGACAAGTTGCTGAGTAAGGAATACATGGGTGTGTGGAGATGGGAGTCCAGGTGAATGAGGAGGATGATGATGAGGTTCCCCAGGACAGTAGTGAGGTACATGGCCAGGAACAGGGCATAGAACAGGTGCTGGTGCTCTGGGGGCATGGGCAGGCCCAGGAGCAGGAACCAGGAGAAGACAGTTTGGTTCCCTTCCATCATGCTGTGTCACCTGAATCTTTAAGAGAAAAATTTGAAAGTCTCTTAAATCCAAATAAAACTGAACACATTTCTATGATAGATGATCTGGTAAGTGTCCTTCAATAATTGTTTGCATTCTCATAAACTGAAAGAAAATAAGTACATTTCTTTTGTGTGTTTTTGATAGACTCTCTACTTAGCTTTGGCTGACCTGAAGCTCCCTGTGTAAACCAGGTGGGCCTGGAACTCAGAGATCTCCCTGCCTCTGACTCCTGAGTGCTGGAACTTAAGGCAACAGCACCATGTCTGGATTATATTTCTTAAATTTAGTCCCATGACTAAGTCTAAGCCACCTGTCAGTTATCTCACTAGTAATTAGATACAGTGAGACTGGCTGTTATTTCCTATCTAAAACACGGAAAGTGAGCCACTCTAATGTTAATTCAATGGCCATTGGTTCTCAGTGGTTAGAGTTAGTTTGGTTTGGTTTTGGGGGGTTGTTTTTGTTTTGTTAGTTTTCCTTAGTAGCCTCTTGTTCCTGGGCCTTTGTACTAAACACCCATCTCTTCATTGCATGGCTTTTTCCCTTAAAAAGCTTGCCTCTTTCCATGGCATCCATTTTTACTTATGTTGTGTCCCAGCCACAATTTCTTCTCCCTCCTTTCCTCCAAGTCCTTCCCTCTGACCCCACCCCTCTGTTCCCACCACCCCCAATCCACTCTTTCATTTCTGTTCAGGAAAGGGAAGGTATCCTGTGGATATTGACAAAACATGGCATATCAAGTTGTCATACAACTAAGCACTTCCCCATGTATTAAGGCTGTTAAGGTGACCCCAGTCCTAAAAACTAGTAAGAGTCAGAGACAGCACCTGTTCCCACTGTTAAGAGGAATAAGGTACACAACTGTCACATGAATTCAGAGTGCCTAGGTTAGTACTATGCAGGCTCACTGGTTGTGGGTTCAGTCTCTGTGGGCCCCTATGAACCCAGGTTAGTTGATTCTGTTGGGTTTTCTTGTGGTGTCCTTGACCCCTTTGGCTCCTACAATCCTTTCTCCCTCTCTTCTGCAGGACTCCCAAAACTCCACCTAATGTTTAACTGTGGGTCTGTATGTTTCCAACAGTTGCTGGATGAATCCTCTCGATACAGTTGGGTTAGGCATCAATCTGGTCACAGGAGATAGAAGTTCAGGCTATATATCCACTATTGCAAGGGGTCTTAGCTTTGGTCACCCTTGTAGATGACTAGGAGATTCCCTTTCACCGGCTTTTTACCTGACCCTCATATGTCCTCTTTTCCAGGAGTCTCTTTAAGTACTCTCCTCCTCTGCACCCCCAACCTGATCTCTCATGCTCACATCTGCACCTGCACACAATCTTCTCACAAAATCTCTATTTCCACTTCCCAGGGTCTACCCGACATCCCCCCTTAAACCTTCCTTGATAGCTGGTCACTCCGGATTTGTGTTTTGTAGTACAGTTACTCTATATTTTACCTTCAAAATCCACTTATGAGTGAGTACACACCATGTTTGTCTTTCTGTGTCTGAGATACCTCACTCAGGATGACTTTTTTCTTATTCCATCCATTTGCTATGGCATCACAGTTATCACCTGAAATTCTTAGCTAAACTACACCATTACCTGTAGTACTCTACCAACTGTTTATTATCTCCCCTTGGGTATAACTGGGCTACCTTCAGCTCAATAGATCTCAAATGCCAAGTACACCTCACCCTTTTCCCAGTCTTCTCTTGCAGTTTCTCATATCTCAGGGGAAGAAATCTAGGCTCACAAAAGAGATGTCAGAATTTTCATTATCCATTCATTCCCAATAACATCTAATCTAGCAAATCCCATAGAGTCTGTCCATTCATTTCTTTCTAAGTCATCCATCCATCCATTATTTCGATTACCACACAGAAACTGCCATTGTATCTCATCTAGATGGTTTGACTGCCCTGTTGGAATATTTCATCTCTTTTCTTCTATCTATTTCAATCTTCTCACATTGTGGCTGTCTGAGATGAAACTGATCCTCATTCTACACAAAGTTTTTTGTTGTTGTTGTTGTTTTCTCCTCCTTCACAATATAGAGGCAAAACTCCTAAAGACACTAGAGAAACCAGGATCATCACAACTGGTCCCTTCCTGCCTCCACAGCCTCACTGCTCACACAGCAACTCCCATATTCCACTTTCACCAACACTGGACTGAAAGGTCACAGTGTCTTGACTCCAGCCCACCACAGTTGCTGTTCCTGCTACCTAGTGACATCTTCTCTCTGCCCCCATTTCACTGGGCTTGTTCTTTAAGTACAGTATACGGGGCTTCATCCACTAAATCCCTGGTTTCTTCGGAGGTGAGAATGGATATTGTGGCCCCACTGCACCCTCTTTCCATTCTACAGCCATCAATGCCCTGATCACTGGTTTGAGCTGACTTCTCACAGTACTGTGTATGTGGGAAAGGCTGTGTCTATCCTCATGTCTTTATCTTGCAGCAGGGCTACCTGGCATGCTGCCTGGATGTGAGCAGAGTTCTCAATATTTGTTGTCTGTGCTTGGAGTTAAGGCATAGTTAGAAGTCTGTACATCTTCTCAGACTCAATAGTTTGGAACCAAGTAGCTTTAGATACTGTGTTACAGGGTTCCCAGTGTAACTTCAGATCCTTGGAAAGCATTAGGCTGCCCAATACACTATGATTTATTCCAAACACACCATCAGACAACCTGTTATGTGTGACTGCATTGGTGTTTTGATTCTTGGGTAATAACATGCATATGACTCATTGATATTGAGATAAGAACTATTAATTTGAGATGTGATTTAGGGAGAAGGGAGGAATAAAGAAAATTTTGAAACTTTGTTTCAGTTTGTCTCCACATATCTATGTTAGGTGCCTCAGAGATAGAAAGATAATAAGAACTTTAAAGCACATAAGAAGTTCCTCCCTTGAAAAGACACAAGTGAACCCAGCTGCTGGAATTTCAAACTTACCAATCTAGCCAAACTAACAATTCTTACATTTAGACATGACCTTCTAGTGTTGCAGTTGGGAAAGCATCAATAAAATTTTTAAAAAAGCATTAATAATGCCACTGATCAACACCTGAGTTCTGGGGGTTCAATAATGGTGTCTCTCATTTTCCTCATAGGGTACCTGTTCAGTTCTCAGTCTGAACTGCATATAAGAGTGACAAAAGGGATTTTCGATAAAGGAGCTAAAACTATACAATGGAAAAAAGAGAGCATCTTCAACAAATTGTGCTGGCAAAACTGGATTTCAATCTGTACAAAAATGAAAATAGATCCATGTCTGTCACCATGCACAAAACTCAAGTCCAAGTGGATTAAAGACCTCAATATCAGTCTGAACACACTGAACCTGATAGGAGAGAAAGTGGGAACTACACTACAACAAGTGGGCACAGGAGACCGCTTCCTACGTATAACATCAGCAGCACAGACAGTAAGGGCCTCATTGAATAAATGGGACCTCATGAGANTTCAGACTTTACATTTAGTAACTCTAATTCTGCTGAACTGTGAATCATACTTTGATAGATTAATCATATAGCTTGCTTTTAAAAATATAGATTTTCACTCTGTCACCTAATAATTGTGATTATAATCTCTTCAAGGGGATTACCTGAGTCTTTTTAAATTCCTTGAATATTGTTGCCGTAAGAACCAGCCTCCAGCAGCTCAGGAGTTGAGGAGAATTCAACAGAGTTAGTGGGCTAATCACTCAACCTGACTTTTCTATCTGCAGAAGTAAATTTAATTCTCTGGGGCCAGAAAAGGGGAGCTAAAACTAACTCTCTCTGGGCAAAAAAAAAAAAAAAAAAAGCAGGAAACACACACACACTTCCAACATGTCAGGATCTCAGTTAGGGTGCTGAGGAATGGCAGGCCTTCAGTGGGTCAGAGAAACAAAAGAGGAAATGCAGAACAGGTGAGCTACTGGACAGACAAACAGACACATGAGGACTTTTCTGAGTGCCAAAGCTGAGCTCTTCATTTTATTATTCTTACTGTTGCTATTCTGCTCAATTTTTTTCTGTTTTCCTGCCCTGATTTTTCTTCTGTCTCTCTTCTAACTTTATTTTATCCCTTACAGTTTAGATATCCTATCAAAATTCTTCAAGCAGTATAAAAAATTACAATATCACATTCTATTTTTCAATTTAATTATTATAATAAATACAAGTAAAACATTGCCTGTTTTCCATATCTCATACATAATTAAACATTTTATGTATTACAGGTGAAAAACCAGTTGTTCCAAGAACCCTCATACATTAATACCCAAGCAAGTAGTTATAGATTAACAGAGTATAAGAGAGAAAGGTATTTTTCACAGCCAGTTCTTTAATGACAGGCTGAGTTTTGTAGTTACAAAGGACCAATAATTTTAGTTTATCTCAATAGGTATCTTATTTAAAAATCTTAAAAGAATCACCAATCTAAACTTTTATATATTAAAAAGAATCAGTCTTCTTTCTTTAAATCCTCAGGGTGCATACCTGTTCATCAACAGTTTTTTTTTAATATAACAGGAAGCTCAGGGAAGAAATGAACACAAGGAATTAATCATCACTCTCAATCTCTAGCCCATACTAGTAAGAAAAGTACATCAGCCAGCAATTGTCAGGTTACCTGCTCCCTGACCTCAATGAGTCCCTTGCTCAGCTATTGAAAGTATGTTCTTCTAAACTTTAAATTGATTTCCAAAGTTTTCTACCTCAAAGGTACTAACAAAAACATCTTAACCTAATATTAAGCCATACTTAAAGCTTTGTTTTAGCTATGATGCACACCAAAACTCATGAACACATCTCTCAATATTAAGATTTCAGAAAAAAAAAACCTTGAGCTAAGCTTAGCTTCTGGGACACAATTGATTTTTTTCATCATTAACCTAAGCCACAGTCCATACAGCTCCTCAGGAGAAACTAGTTGTGTAACATTACATTGTCCTTATTTTCTATCCTAGGCAGCCCCTGCTTTCTCAGAGG